TACATATATTAAAATTTAAAAAAAAATGAAAACAGTCGCGAAAATGTGCAATGATAATCAATCATCAATAATAATCAATCATTATTAATTACTCAGTTTAATTAAATCTATCTAACAATAAAATAGTAAATTAATGCATTCTTGAAAGAATAATTTATTTAGATTAAACTATAAATTGATAACACATTAATTAAATATTTATTAACTGATCTGATATCATTGTTTTAGTTAAATTTTTGTTAATTGTAGTTAAATAATGCTTAACGATTTGTTATTTTTAAAATTTTTATTTATTGTATTTACAAATATATAGGTATTTTTTAATATATTCAACATGTATTGTTATCTTTTTTAAAAAGATTTTTTAAGAATTTTCCTATTTTATTATATATCGATATCACAAACAATATTAATATTTTTTTCTTTCAATACCTTTATATAATATATCTTTATTTACATTGTTATTTAATTTAATATATATTTATACATTTATTTGTTAATGTATTTCTTATAATAATAATATTTTGAAAATGTTTAAAATGTCTAATAATATATACTTCTTATATTTAATAATTTTAATTGCAACTGTGTTTAACGGCTGTTTAACGACTGAAAATTAACTTATTATTATTGATTTTATTAAATTATCAACATTGTAAAAAGTGTTATCAAATTTTCCATTATTCTATTAATTCTTAAGATATTCTAATCAAAATTGTGATTGACAGAAAAATATTGGAATAAAAATATAATGCGCATGATAAATATAAATACTAAACTTAATTATAGTCGACTTTTATATACTTGTCGAGACATTACCATATTTCTTAATTTGTTTCAGCAATGCCTCTTTTCTATTTCTTTTTCCTTCTCTTTTTGGGGAATCTTTACAAAATCTTTCCAAATTTAAAAGTTGCCATAAAATTTTTGAATATAACGATTTTTGATAAAATTAAGAACTAATCTAACGTTATAATCTAATTGCGAAGCAACTAGTCAAGCTTTAACTTTTTTCTCTCAAATTTTCGTCGATTTGAGAACTATCGAAATCAACAAATACGATCTCGGCGATTTCGGCTTGATATATCGCAAGTCGTAACCGCCTGCTCAGCCGCGGTCAGTATCGCCCGAAGGAACGAGTTGTCCCTCTGGGCAAAGAGAGAAAGGCCCACCCCCGTCACTCGCTTCCCTGGCTTACAAGCGGAGAAAACCCGTGGGGGTTGCGAACGCTATTCAACCGTAACAAAAGGCAATCACCATAGAAGTGGTGGCACTGGAACTAGCAGCGGTCATAAGTTATCGAAATCACGTCGATATTTCGCGAAATAAACTTTACTAGTGCGCTGGAAAGTAAATAAAAGTGCACTACAAATGTGATACAAATTGAATTATCATATAATAATAGTAATTAAATTTAAAATATTTGGGCTAAATAAGTTGAAAACTTAATTATATATAATAATAATGATTAAATTTCAAAATTGTACTAATAGTAATAATTTTTTAAATTTATTGTTGTAGTTAATTAATAAATCGATTACAGTCAACAAATAAATGTGGTGTTAAAAATAATTAGAAAGATAATTGTGATAATTAAAAATATAATTGTGAATCTTCTGATGTTAAAAAATAAATGATAACAAAATTTAGTTTTATTTTACTATTTTTTCATATAAAATACGTTTATATATAATTAATAATTATTTATCTTTAATTCGTGCGTTCTATTTATTAATCATTTCCAAAAGAAATTGCTAACAGAAATGCGTTTATTCGAGTTTATTCAAAATAAGAATTGCCCCATTTTTGTGTACATAGTGTTCGCTCAATTATTTATCAAATATCGCACCAACTACGATAGTCCAACAATCAGTTGAGAATCTCTCGATATAATCCCGATTGTGCCAAAAAAAGTGATATGAGTTGTTTGAAATTTTTACGCAAATCCGTCAAATCCGCACCAATGTAAAATTTCGAACAAACGAAAGATTCGCTAACGTAGGTATTGATGATACATTTCCGGTACATATAGGCAGATACATACAAAAACGGAAACGTCCGTCAATAAAATTATAAAAAAATACGCCAGCAATTGCTGTACCAGCAATTTTATACGAAAGGAAAGGGGTGTACACAATCATCGTCAATTTCTGTATGTTCGTCCATGTTCAATTGAATGCTCGAGTATATCGAGTGTCATTGATATTCGTTCGAAAATGCACGAAACTACCCGAGAAGCCTTCGAACTAATTGTCATTTGTTCCTATACAGGTTTTTAAGAGACGTTTTATAAAATTATATTGTATAATAATGATATAAATATAATGAGAACATTATTTCATATTTAATATAATGCAGTTTTATACAACGATTATATTATATCTGAAATAATAACTGATATAAATTTTATTGAATTTTCCAACATTACATCAAATGCTTTTCTTCAACTTTAAATGAATAATATTTTAAATAAATAATTTGATCAATAATACTGTTGACTTTGTAAAAGTTAACGTGTAAAAGTAATTTAAAAAATCTATTCACAATATATGTATATATAATTAATAATAATATTTTGTTGAATTGTTATCTAATAATTATAATCTCTTATATAAAATAAAAAGCATATTGAGATAAAAGTATTACAATACTGTCAGATATAAGTAAATAGGACATTATAAATAAATAAATTTTAATTATATATACGACAAAAATATGTCATATGATAGTATTACATGTAATATTTGTAAAACATAATTATTACATGTAATATTATCACTTATTGTTAGATAGACGTCAATAATCATTCACTAAAAGTCTAAGAATTTCTGATCTTACTTTTTGAAACAACTTATATATCGATGTAATCTAAACGCTTGGTTAAAAATTTCACAAATCCGCGAACTTCCGCCCTTTCCGCACGAAATCCCCACACGAAGACGGCATGCCATCATTATCCGAACGCGAAACATTGCAACGCGCCGAGGGGAAACAGCGAGAGGGTGGCCCGCTGCATCGATCGAGGTTAATATCAGGGGGGGAAAGAAGAGTAAGGTAGCTTACAAATTGCACTCTCAATTTTCGTGAGGAAGCGCCGGCTGGCCGGCGTTGCGAGCTGCAAAGCAGGTTTTATCGAGTTAAAGCGGAAACGAAGAAGGAAACCCGAAAGGAAAAGAAGAAGACTAGTAAGAGAGAGAAAGAGAGAGAAGCGCAGGGGGCAGGTTGAAGAGTGGACCATTAAATCGCAGCACCAGCAATTACATCGATCTAGCCGTGTCTGATGATGTTGATTTAAGTTCCAGAAGGGGCGCCGAGTGGATTTCGAGTCGTTTTCGGATTTCGCGAAGGGAAATTAAGCGCGGAGAATCACTGAGATACGAGAAATGAAACGGGCATGTCAGAAGAAACAAAATTTCCCGATTTTAACGTAACGTAATGGAAATATTGACAGCTTTCACGAGTTAATTTACATCTATGTTTTGTAAATCGTTTTAAAATAGTAGCTTAAAAAAGTTTTAGTTTTAATAGTTTAAAAAACGGTTGATAATAAATCATTTAAATATAACACGATTTATTTTTTATACTATTTCTTTACATAGAAGAAATTGTATCTAGACAAGATTTAATGACACAGACATCGAACAGAATAAATTTAAATTAAAATTAATATATTTATATATTCACGCGATGAAATAGAAGACGAGGTCTTGTAGATAATTGTAGGAATGCATTTATGTAAATGTAGTTAGAAAAGAGCAAGATTAATTAGAATCAATGTCTTATTATATCGTGTTACACTAAGTTGTAGTATATAGCTAAGTATTAAATGAGTTTTCAATTACAATGTTACATATATAATATTTTGTCGCAATTGCTTGATGATTTTTCGTCGCGTTCGCATAATTAAACTTTCAATGCAACGCTATGGCGATTGCGTTTTTGCAATGGACATTTCGCGTCGGCAAAAAGATCGTTAGCAGATTCCGGAAGTGCTATATCGATAGTTTATCGATTCTAATTTACCGGAAAGTCGTTATCTGACAAAACCCGAATATCTCGGATTTATTTAACATTTATGAAAAAATTTATCAATTTCCACTATTTATGCTAATAGCAATAACGGAATTAATATCTAAATTCGTAAAAATTGTAATTATTGTGTATAGTTTATATAAAATTTTTATATTTATAATATTTAAGAGATACAAGGAAGAATATTATGTTATAAAATAAACAAATAACCGAGCTTGGCACACGAGTAAAAAAGAGATTGATATAAAAATGATTGCTTTAAGAAAGTATAAAATAAGATTCACAGAATAGTTTCTTAACGACATCGTGCGCTAAACTTCACGCCATCGCGGAATCTAAAGGATGGCATCGTATAATTAAACAAGTTAATTACAGTGAAGTATGTAATAAGCACTGACTTTAAATTAACTCATGACAATCTATGCTCGTAACTCGCGTTCAAAATACGTTTTTTCATTTTGTATACTGATTATATTTTTTCCTTATAATATTATAACAACACACTATGTATATAAAATTTGTGTTGAATATTTACAGCAAAAGAAATAGAAAAAGTGTTAAGAATAAAATACGCAAAATAATGATTAAAATACCGATAATTAAACGTTTATAGTAAAAACTAGAGAGTTGTATATTAATTAAAATTCTTCGCTAAATATTGATGATAAAATTAAAGAAAAAAAAATGTACGATAATACAAGAAGATATTACAAGAGTAATTAAATGCGCGCGGCGGATCTGAGGAGTAAATAAAATTCTGAATCTCCCGTTCCATATCATGCACGCACTTTGACGCATTAAGAACTCGTAAAAGCGTCCATTACTCAGATATTAAACATATTCTTGGCACTTACCCGCTTCTTGCTTATCCACAAGCAGAATTGCGAGCTAATTTTACCTTAGAGTCGCTCGTTCTCGCGAATGATTTCGATTAATTGCGTCACGCATCGCCAGTATTGCACACTTACCGTAATCTGAAACAAAAATGTTAAACCAAAAATATGTTAGATATATAATAAACAAATAAATAAATATATATACATACATACACACTTATATATACACATTAAATAAATATATATATATATATATATATATATATATATATAATATAGATTAATATATAAAAGTAGTTATAAAAAGAAATATTAATTTTTAATAATATTAATTACTTTCCAAAATGTATAGTTTTACATATATTAGTATATTTTATATTTTCTACTATAATTTTCTAATAAATTAAGTTTAAATATTATTTCAACTTGTTATAACATGATAAATTTGAACTAAAAAAATTTATTTTTAATTTACTGAAAAAATGTATGATAAGAAATAATTTAATTAACGAAAAAAAATCGACATACAAATTTTAAAAAATTTTACATGTTACATAAATGTTCAGAAACATAACTGCCTTATTATAAAATATAGTCTTACGTGGTAATACAGCGTATCAATGGCCAAACTAATTGTAACGTTCCTTAATAAGTCATTATTTTCAAAATATAAAAGTATTTAAAAAATAATAAAATAAAATTGATTGATTTTTGTACAGGTGAAAAAAAAAAGAAGAAAAATGCGTTAAGTGAGTTTGAGATGATAGGTTTTATAAGCGCGTGCAAACACACACAATAAAACATTTATTTCAAAATTAAATAAGCGTAAAACAAATTTTTTTATCTCTTGTAATTTTTTTATAGATTATAATGCCATTCATGCGAATAATTCGATTATTCTGCTAACTTCTATTGATTACTCTACACATAGGATGTACTATGCATTATTAAAAAAATAAACGCGTTGCGCGGTAGGCACTTATATCACACGAGTGCACTTTCATCGCGATACACTTGGCGTATCGATGCCATTATGGAGTGAGTTTTTACGCGGCTTTACAGCGCGTTTTTAGTGAGAGATCGGAGGGTTGTCTTGCATTACATGTCCATAAGTCGGCAGTATATGGCGCCAGATAAAATAAAGTGCGGTGCACTTTAGTCGATGAAGACGAAACGCGAAAAACTCATAGTGATGTAACATTGCAATATACATTGACGATCGACATCTTTCAATATTCGATTTAAATAATACTCAACATACGTATATAACATTACATCATTCAGACAATTACAACTAGTGTTATATGTAATTGTTTAAAGCTATATAATTTTTGATGTATAAATTAATTTTATTGATATTTTTTTATCAAAAATATCATCTTTACAAATTAGATTTTAAGCAATAAAAACGTTTTTATTTTCTGTGCAAGCATTTTATTTTTTGTTACATCTAAAATCCTCTTGCAACGCATTGTTGTTTTACTACAAAGTTATTAAAATCGTACAATTTGCATATACATATATATATATATAGTTATAATTAAAATTATAATAAAACAATATATGATAAGACCAATATCACACAATTACAAAAATCATGCTCAAATGTATAAAATAAAATTTATCGTGAATAAACATGTGTATACTTGTTTTTCAATATAAAATATTTTGCGTAAGAGAAATAACTTTCATAGAACTAGAATTCGCATATGAAAATTAAATTATTAAATAAACTAATGTGTATGTATAATTTACATGCATTACATGCATTATAATTTACTGAAAATACACACTATTATTATTTTTCATTTTAAAATTATTCTTGGCGTTGAAATTAAAGGGAAAGATTAAAATATTATAAATTCTTTTTAATATCAATGTATTAATCAATGTTAATTAAATGAAATAATCTACAAACACATTTTGGCCAAATAATATTGCCTAATTACATTTTATATGTACTAAATATTGTGATTGCACAAAACGAGAGTTTAGTTTGAGTTACGTTAGTCAATTCTCGCTTCGACAAGCAGCTTCATATTTGTAAACGCGTTGATATTTTCGACCGTCATAAAGCAAGTGTAATACCGTGTGGAATTGCAAAGTGAGAGGAAAAAGGAAAGAGAGAAAGAGATTCGCGATTTTGATAAAAAGATTACGCGTCCATTTTAATCGAACCGCGAGATTGCAATCGCGGGTGCAACGAGCTATCGAGTTTCCCGCGAAATATTAAATGCAATGCGTATGCAATCGCATCGACGATTCATGTTACAATTGTATTTATTTTTATGGCAGCGCAGAAACATCTCAGATCGTAAACATTTTCGATTTATTCTGGTAAAATAAAAATTAGAAATATTATTAAATGGTACAAAAAATACTTTGACAGAATACCTTATTGTTTATTTTACTCATTTTTATCCAAATTCTGTGCTTATTCTTCCGTTTTTATTTTAACGTAATTTTGCTTGTTTTCTATTGCTGCTGATAAAATGGATTTCTTCAATTTCAGGTATTTGCAATTCAGACACGGACGTCTTAGATCGCGTTTGGATAAGACGCATGCAAAAAGCAGTATCTATTTGCGTCAGAAAGCTCTCGCCAGACTGGAGGGCAAGCCTCAAGCAATCCTTCCACCTATATTTGGGAGGTGGGATGGTTCTTCTTCACGCGCGTTTACAAGGCGGATCGTATGCAAATCTCTAGCGGCTTAATTACGCGACACGCCTACTATATGAGCTCTCGGATTGCACGTAACGCGAACCGGAAGCCAATATATTTAACTGACGATAAGAAGAAACCCTTACATCACTCCTCGCTCTTTCACGAATACTTAGATGTCGATTGAAAGATTGGGAGATAAAAAATTGAGTAATTGAGGAATCGAAACATCAAAAAATCCTATAAATCGTAACAATAAAATTATTATATTTATTTTAATAATTTATGTTTATTGTTAGAATATATCTGTATACGTATACTGTTTCTGTTTATGTACGTACATATTTTCCTTGTTGCGTTTTATAATATTTTTTAATTATTAAATGAATAATTCAGAAATACGTATAATTATTTTGTTATATAATGGATCAACAAAAGATTCATTAGAGACTAAATTTGCACCTTATTAGTATCTTCTCTACGAGTCGACTAATATATCACGCTGTCACGTAATAAACGTTTCCAAACCATCACATGCGAATCTTACATTTATCTTCCTCCTTCCAGTCGACTAATTCTCGATGAGTGGTTCGTTCATTCAAAGAGAATAAAATTTAGATTTCCACGACGCAGCAATATTTGCATTTTCATGACATAACGTCAAAATGTAGGAGAAAAAGTAACAGTAAAACAGAATAACAAATCACGCCCGGATATTCGTTTTTAATCCTTCTGCCCGCGGTAAACTGTCGGAAAAACATGACTAGGATACAGCGAAGTTTAAATATAATCTACATATGTTTTCCAATACAATCCTTACAGTACAATATAAATCATTGTAACAATCGCATGATTGCTATGCAAGGCGACATAAATTTAAATCATAAAATAAAAGAACTTCTCTTTATCTTTACATATATTTTTATACATATTCTTTTTAGACACATGTATAATTATATGTGGTTTATCTGCAATCAACATTCATCTTACATAAATCTTAATATACATTTATATGTATATGTGCACACGCATCTATTTAAATATATAATCTGAGAGAGATTCTTTCTTTTGCATAAAAACATTAATACATTATTAAGTTTAACTCTATAATATAATGTAAAATAATAAAATTGAATTTTTTTATATGTATGTGTGAAAACGACCGACCATGTACAAAAGATACTTCTGGCATATCGTGAATTTTGTCAGCAAGAAATCTTATTTGAAATAAGTTGGTTAATTTGACACTTTGTAGACGTTGAATTTATCACTACAACATAGCATTACAATTCATATTTCAAAATATAATAATAGTTATAAAGTCTCAAATAACTTGTTTTTGTCGAAAAACTTCGAAATTAAAGAGTTTTTGTCTATAATATATAATATATGTTTTTTGTCTAAAATATATAATTTTTTTGTGACGAGATAAATACGGGTAAACAATATTTCAAGAATAATATTTAAACAAATCAAATAGTTGATTAATCTTCTTCAAATAGTTTATTAATCTTCTTTAATAAAAAAATACTGAAGAAATGTCATCCTTTACTGATGTCATCCTTTCTCATAACTTTTCTATTAAAGATTTCAAGAATGCTGTTAAACTTTATTTGAAATTAAACGATAAAAAGTATATTCTATTATTTATTTGTATCTCTGAAACTGAATCATAAGAAAAAAACTTTTTCATAAGAAACTTTTCATCCTATGGTTCGTAGTTTAAAAAAATTATTATATTTTTAATGCCAAAAATCAATCTTCAATCACATAATAAATAGTAATATGAATCAATTTTTCACCAATTCTCTGGATAAATTTATAAAAAAATTACACTCATTCTCTACAAAATTACACTCTCTCTCTACATAATTCCTAAAAGTATTGATTTTATTTTATAAACTACGTTGATTAGTGCATATATACCGATTAGAAATTTTTGAAGAGCAAATTCGAGATCGTGCGAATAAAAATTTGCACGTAAGCGACAAAGTTTTAATCCACGACGGAAATAATGGAATTTCGAGGGAAAAGTGCGCTTTTCTTTCTAATTTTCTCGCTGGATGCCAAATCGTTGCGCGATAATTCCAACTTCTAGAACCACGAGCAAAAGCTGCAAGCTTATCGAGTACGATTATCTTCGTAGCTCGCTGAGAAATCTCTTTTAGGTCTAAGAAGATTTTCAAATAATTACGAACAATATGTACGTGAAAAATGAGAAAAATTGATTTTCATGCGTTTCATTCAAAAAGTGTAATTATGCATTTTAAAATTATTCATATATCATTATATAAATTATAGTAATTAATTATTCATTATATCGTTACATGTTAATTATTAATTAATTATGACGAAAATGAATATGTAATAATAATTATTCGATTTAATATGCAATAAAAAAGCATATTGCGTTACTAATAACAGTAATCAAAATAACAAAATAGAAGTTGTGTATTTATATATATTTTTTCTCAAAA